CACACACACACACATACACACACACATTATTCACTAAGTCTCTGGGTTCAAGGTTGAAATCTAATTTTGACTGTCCAACAATAGCTTATAGCAGTCAGATGACATTTAACTCTTTACTTGACTTTTAGTTCATCATTGTGAGACAGCCTTTACCACCACCACCACCACCGCCATCACCATCACCACCACCACCACCATCACCATCACACCACCACCACCACCACCACCACCACCACCACCACCACCACTCCCCACCACCACCACCACCACTCTAGTCTTGGAGCTCACTATAATACAGCAGGTGTGTTGGACAGTGTGGCGAAACTCATAAGAGAAACACTAAGGAGCAGACAAGAGAACTGTTTATTGTTGTTAACCTTCCCTTCAAATTGTTCCAAAAGTTAATAATTTGTTAACATCGTAAGAATTAAGCTTAGCATGAAGTCAATATCTAGGATTATTTTCCTCGTTGAAGAATAAACAAAATGTTGTTTTAATGATAATTCTTGTGATGATTCAGATAGATACTCGTATACAATTCTAGTATCAATTAAATACATCTTTCGTGAATAATATTTCAACATTAATTTTCATCGCCTTTAGTAAAAAAGATAAATATAAAAATGTTATGATGACGTCAACAAGAAATAATTCCAAAGTTAAAGTGGCGGCTCATTAGGTTAAGTGGCGGGCAAGTGGAAGCCTCGGTGTGGATCGATCTAATGAGTTGAGTGGATTAGTCAGAGTCTGTGATGCAGGTGAAGATAATTGACAGGTGTGTGTTAATTACCCTTAATAACTTTTATCTAACCTTTAATTTACCATTATTTATATTTATCATATATTACGAACACAAACTATATTGATTATTAAAAGTATTAAAGAAAACTGCTGGTAAGAAAATGTTTAGGGGAGTATAATGTATTTTGAAGGACCATTACTTGTGAGTACGACTGCCTCACCCCTCATCCCTCACCCATCACCCCTCAACCATCACTCCTCACTCCTCACCCCTCACCCCTCACCCCTCACTTCTCACCCTTCACCCCTCACTCCTCACTTCTCACCCTTCACCCTTCACCCCTCACCTCACTCACCTTCTCACCACCTTCACCCTCACCACCTCACCTCACCCTCACCCTTCACCCCTCACTCCTCACCCCTCACCCCTCACCCCTCACCCTTCACCCCTCACTCCTCACTTCTCACCCTTCACCCCTCACACATGCACTAACGACCCGTATAACAATAATAACAACAACAACAACAAAAACTATCCCTGTATTACATAACAGACCATTACGTTTGTACACTCAATTGGACTATTAACTTTAAATTGAAAGTAAAAAATATTCCCTGGATCTTTTATTTTATTGAAATATGACAAAAAATTAGTAAGCTTTCTCTGTGGTCTCGTCTGCCAGGGAAATATTTGGAGCTCGTACTACACACAGTGGAACATTATTGAGATCATTATTATTAGAGCTGTATTTACACATAGGTGATTGATGGCGGCACAATATTCCCTCCAGTGATTTTATATTCCTATACATGGTAGGTAGGTCAGTTGACGCATACAGTGGTCATCTCTCTGACTGTGTTCCTATGCATGTTAAGTCAGTTGGTCATGAAACACGCACACCCGTCATATTCGCCTCTCTCTCTCTCTCTCTCTCAGACAACCACTTAGTATTCCACACCAGCACCAGTAGTTCCCTTCACTTACGCTAATGGCGCTACTAAGACCTTCTCAACTATGCATGTTGCTACTTCCCGATTTTCAGAAGCTAAGAAATCAAATTCATTGCCTACAGACGTAATATAATTAATTACGTTATAATGAAGAATAAAACTCGTAGTTTATAAACACGATTTTAAAGATACATTTATGGGAAGGAGATAAACATTAGCTACTGTAGCAGCTTAATTTTAAAACCTTTCAGAGTCTTAATGAAATCTGTGTCCCGTCGCTGAGGCCTTTTAGGGAGTTAATGTGATTCATCCATTGAGGTAATTTGTGTTTTAGATGTAACTCTCTTTATGTGTCTGAGTGGTGAGTACTGCCACTGTGGATACTCTAGCTATAGTTTGATGGGTGGTCCAGTGTCTTCTCTATCTGTCTGTCACTACTCCTACCATTCGCTTTCTCTCTCTCTCCTTTCTTCCTCTCTATCATATCTCTTCTCCTCCCTTCTCTCTCTCTCTCAGCAACAAACAGACAAACAACAGGGCTAATAACCCTAAAACATTTCTTAACCTTGTGACTGGTATCAACAACTTGGATGATTTTTACAACCAATATTACCAATGTGAGATAAATTCTGTCCCCGTTCGTCTCCAGTCAGCGAGCGAGGGGGGGCCAACATACGCGACAAACATCAACAATCAGGTGACACAATATTCTGAGGTTTGGTGTTGTTGATGAGATTCTTACATTAACTCCCCGTGTCATGCATAATTCTAGGTATCGTGAGTTTCATAGTTAGTTTTCAATAACGTTATTCAGTAGGAGTGTAAAATCTACTTAATACTTAATGTATTTTCGGAAATGCATCACACATCACTATAAATATACTCGACAGCTATTCCCATAAATTTTGTTTAATTACGACTTAAGACAGATCATTTTTCAGTGTTGTCATTCATAAACCTTCGCTCTACTGACATTTATATTTTACTCTTGATACTCAGGATAGATCGTAAGGGGAATGATGAAGATAAATGAACTCCTGGGTCCACAAGATTTATTACAATTGGGCCTGAGAGGAAACGTATACTAACATGAATCCCAGACAAATGCTTCGAGTGTTGCAACACCTATTTCTGAATTCCTGAGTCTATTAACACTTTGATTTATAGGGTTAGTGGTGGACAGGTAACACTATGATTTACAGGTGAGCAGGTAACACTATGATTTACAGGTGAGCAGGTAACACTATGATTTACAGGTGAGCAGGTAACACTATGATTTACAGGTGAGCAGGTAACGCTATGATTGACAGGTGAGCAGGTAACACTATGATTTACAGGTGAGCAGGTAACACTATGATTTACAGGTGAGCAGGTAACGCTATGATTTACAGGTGAGCAGGTAACACTATGATTTACAGGTGAGCACGTAACACTATGATTTACAGGTGAGCAGGTAACACTATGATTTACAGGTGAGTAGTGGACAGGTAAAAGTGGGAGAAGAAAGAGTACTGATATGTGTTATTATTATGTTAATGCTTTTATATACACATACTATATATATCTGAAGATACTACGCACATATACGGGTATAAATAGAACACACACACACACACACACACACACACGCGCACACACACTCACACACTCTTCCTCCAACTTTTCTCCTCTAAAGACAGTTTGGCAGCGTTTATGTTCTTGTAAGTGTGTCAGTAACATCCGCTGCGGGTCTTAAGTGCGGGTGATCATCGCCAAATATGGAGAACGGCTTTCCGGAACTCTCGTATTCTCAGGAAACGAGAATTTAACTCTTCCCTGACAAGGTGGTGTTTATTATTTCCATCCAGGTGACTAAGTTAACGTGTACTGGTGTATATAACTCTCTCTCTCTCTCTCTCACTCTCTCTCTCTCTCTGTATCCAGGGACGCACCCAGTGAAGGGAAGTGACAAAAGAGTACACGCGCACATAACCTGTGTTCGTTTACCTTTATGATGTATAGATAAAGGATTCTAAACTCTGAACAGTCTGTTAATCTCCAGCGTCAAGGATTAGCGAGATAAAAAAAAATGGAGAAGCTGAACTTTCCATTTTATATTCCTGGGTGAGCATGTGTGTCTGTCTCTTTGTAGGTTTATTTCTCCTATTCTTGGTTTATAAAAGATTCATAAACATATCTACCATCGTAAACACTATGTTATAAACTTCACTACTAACTCTCCCACCTGCATGTAAACATAAGAATTAACTATGGTATCAGAATTAAGTAGAAATTATTCCATTGTTTGTTCTTGTATGTTTCACAGGTATATGTTATGGTTGTGACTGTAGTTTCATCGCTGTTACAAAAATATTATTGATTCTCTCGTACTGAAGACATATAACAGAGACGCAAAGACATAATACAATTCAATAATACAATAGTACTCTTGGAGACATGTAACTACAGTTGTATAATACATTAGTAACTCTTGGAGACCGATAACACAAGTGACCATAAGATGACAGATGTTCATATATTGTAGTCATGATAAAGCAAGTCCTCACATCTGTCTATTCCAGGGACCCACCTACCACCTGCTGGCCACAATGAAAACTGATACAATACTGACCACTGAACGGTGAGTATCTGGTTTTAAGGCTATAAGTGGTTTTGTGTTCGATGGATTACTCTCAGTACTAGTAGACACGTGCACCAGTAGCACCTCGTTAAAAGTATTGTAGTCATATTGCCGATATTCCCGACTCTAGTCTCGTCATGGGACTGAAAACTTTAATAAAAATTTTCCTTGGTGTAAATATCAAATGTGTTGCTAGAATATATAACATACGTACTTAATAACACTGCTAAATATATCAAAGGGATTCATATTGAAGTTAATTAACAAAGCGAATTTTACTGGAGGTTTCATGTCAATTCTATGGAAACAAATACTTTGTTAATTCAACTTTTAACAGAGGACTTCAACTATATGTAACATGACTGAGTGAACCTTGAGTATGGAGACGTAAGAGTTATTATATATCACACACACACACACACACACACACACACACACACACACACACACACACACGTATATTCACCACTGTGGATTGATCCTCTTGAAAGCCGTAACCGGATAAAGAATGGCGAGACTTAAATAATGCTACAGACGACCACCAAGCTATATAAACCCATTCACACATTTTGAAATACGTTATCCATTACCAGAATTTGATCTATTTATTACAAAACCTATATAGAATACGTCAAACAGTAATTATCTTATTATACACACTAATATTATTAAAATATTATAAATTTACCTTACATGATGACTGTGATGAAATAGGTACCAGAAGTGATTAATTCTTCACTAAAAGTCTTCAGTTGTATATCATGGTAAGGCTCAATGGCTCAGTGCCGGGGCGAGGAAGGCGAGCGAGTCTAGTAGTCCTTTACCTCCCGTCTCACTCATGAGGTCTGGACCGATACACAGTTGTTTGCTGAAAGAAAAATATAAATATTAGTGTGATTTGTTTTTATCATTATCATTATTATAATTACTGCTATTAATGTCATCATGATTATATTATTAGTATCATTGTTTATGGCATATATTTCGTTTTAATTGTATACTTGAAATAATGTAGACAAATTAAAACACAGACCAAATAATATAAAACATTCTTATAACTATTTTCATGACTGATAATATTCCCTTAACGATGACGTAATAAAAGTTAATCAACCCATAAGAAACAAATATATAAGATGAAAACTCCGAGAAAACTCATCACAAACTCGAGGTCTTGTCACATATTAGCGAATCTTCTCGTCACAATACCGGAAGGGAAGTTTAAAGCATTATTCTTGGTTATTCATCGTGTTGTTTTAGCTGTGTCACCAGTGGGAGGCAGAGAGTGTATTGTGAGGTTGACACTGGGGAGACCCGAGTTCTTTGTCATCCCCGGGCGGCTCTTCAAACCTTCATCATCAAGTCTGGGGAATTTGAGTTCCTTGGCGGGGAAAAGTGGAGAGAAGGAGGAAGAGAAGGAGGAAGGGGAGGGTGAGGAGGAGGAGGAAGAAGAAGAGGAGGAGGAATGCCAAGTGATTCAGAAATTTCATAAGACGTCAAATAATGAATGCAAGGATGACTGCAGGACCCACAAAGACAGAGTGCTTGTTCAACACGTCTTATGAGGCTGTTAAGTGTAGGGAAAGAACTGACTTTATAAACGCCATTCGGGAATTTGATTTATTTTCCCTCTGACGACGACTGTGTTAATTACTCACTAAAGACGATAGAGTAAATATAGAACCACTCTAAACATGTATTAAAGTGTATCTTAGTTTGATGAAAAATAAACAAAGAAAACATAGAGAAACAAACAAGAAGAACCAGAATAAGAAATAAAAGACCTAATTATGTGGAGAACAAATTGGACTGAGAATGATCATTGCAGCTAGACTGTGGAAGAGAGAGAGAGAGAGAGAGAGAGAGAGAGAGAGAGAGAGAGAGAGAGAGAGAGAGAGAGAGAGAGAGAGTGACCAAAATAATCGTCATTTCTATTCACAAACTAATCTTGATCCTCCGCTAGACCTAACACAGGCGCTACTAAATATACAAACCAACTCGCTCAACACCTCTTGCCTATACCATGACTCTTCTTGTCTATGTGTGAGGAAGATCAATAATGGACGTGTGGAGGGCCAGAGACCACCAAACAGATGACCTTCATTACCTTACCAACGCAGCCGAGGAGTGAATTATAGGGCGGTAGAGACAGGAGATGTATCAAGGGCAGGTAACTACTTCCGTAAGACAGACTGACAGATTATGGTATTCTACAGAGGCCGTAGTTGTTTTGACGGTCATAAACACAAGTGAAATTCCACACTCAAGGTTGGGATTTTATGAAGTAGACTCACAGAGGCTCCATCATCTACATTAAATTTCTTCAGGAGTAAAACGAGAAAATTATGTAAATGGAACACTTAAGATGCGAAGATTTAATGGGGGAAGTAAATTATCCGAAATGTACAGGAGATGCAGTGAGGAGAGAATATTAAATTACTCGCGAGTTTGTGAGTGTAGTTTGGTGTTTGTGTCAGGTATAAGGCACACTATTACTCAGTATAAGGGAGGATATAATACTAACAATCCCAAACATATGTCAGTTTTAGGTATCAGGCACACTATTACTCAGTATAAGGTAAAACACAACACTAATACTCCCCCAACAAGTGGTCAATCACAGAGATAAGGGACACTATTATGTATAAGGCACACTATTATGTATAAGGCACATTATTACTCAGTATAAGGTAAAACACAACACTAATACTCCCCCAACAAGTGGTCAATCACAGAGATAAGGGACACTATTAAGTATAAGGCACACTATTATGTATAAGGCACATTATTACTCAGTATAAGTTAAAGCACAACACTAACACTCCCCGAGAAGTATCAGTCTCATAAAGTCACATATTCCAAGAGGTCCTCACAAGTTATTACACATCACTGGTCTTGGTGCTATGGTCCCCGACGCATATTGATGAACCAGCTCCCGGGATGGGAATGTGATTGAAGCGGAACTGGTAATTTACATGTAATTAAATTTGATAACGGGTTCAGTTATCTATAAGGTAATTAATGATACTGTGTAATGGTAAAACGGTGAAATATACAGTGACATTAGCAGTGGTAATGGGGTTAATGGTGTATAATGGAGGGTTGGCCTTCATACTGTAGCCAAGCTTCGGTATGTTCACTGTCGGTTAATTATATTATCGTGTTGAAGTTAATGTCTCCTTATGTATAATATTTTCCTATTAAACATATTATTTTATGAATAGAAAATTTTGTAATCACTTAAATTATATTAATTAATGTTCTGTTAACCTCAAGAATATCAACACTGTTCATGTTGATATCAGAATTCCTCGATTTAAAACCTTAGAAATTAACTTTAAAACCACAATATATTTACCACAGTCAGTTGGTTCCTCTGGCTACCTCTCCCTCACACACTGACATTCACCACTAACAAGAAATAACTCACCAGCCTCACAAAGACTCTTAAATCTTCAAGAATCCGAATTGTATACTCGACTGAGCCTGTTTCTTATTGCTCCTCCCTGACCAACGAATTTCCTGCCCCTGTGGCGTGAAGTCCTGAGAAGTCTCGAGTTTATCTTTTAAAATATTTTCTTTTGTGTTTTTTCTTCTTCTTCTTCTGAGGAGGAGGAGGATCGGGTATGTGTTTATCTATGTTTGTCTGTCTGTCTGTCTGCCTGTCTCTCTAGATAGGTACACACACGGTCATAAACTTAAACACACACACACACACACACACACACACACACACACACACACACACACACACACACATCACTGCAGGAAGACTGAAAAATGGAAGCTGATACAATTTGGAGAAAGTGAAAAATTCCAGCCATTGAATTTAAAACCCAACCTTTACATATTCACTGGGACTAATTTTTCATGTTGTCAATAAACCGTCGAGACCACAACAGCTGAGAGTAAACAGACTGACCCAACCAAATCCCACTGACCCACCCAATGGTTGTTTACTCTACCCACCCCACTGACCCACCCATTGGTTGTTTACTCTACCCACCCCCACTGACCCACCCATTGGCTTGACCCACCCATTGGTTGTTTACTCTCCTACCCAATCCTACCCACCCACTGACCCACCCACGACCCACCCATTGGTTGTTTACTCTACCCACCCCCACTGACCCACCCAATGGTTGTTTACTCTACTGACCCACCCAATGGTTGTTTACTCTACCCACCCCACTGACCCACCCATTGGTTGTTTACTCTACCCACCCCCATTGACCTGGTTGTTTACTCTACCCACTGACCCACCCATTGGTTGTTGTGACTCTAAGATGTTGGTTGTTTACTCTACCCACCCCCAGTGACCCACCCAATGGTTGTTTACTCTACATTATTGAGGTGTTGTGATAATTTATACAGGAGATCGGAAATAGTTTACGGATAATATAACCTTTGAATTTTTATTGTGCTTAAATATGTTATTTTTTATTTTCTCGTTTAATATGATATATAACAGACGGGTAAAAAAAAGCAGAGGGAAATTGCATGAGGAGAGCAGTAACAGTAGTAGGGATAATGACAGTAGAAACAATAGCGGTAGTACCAGTAACAGGAACAGTAGCAGTGACATAAAAAAACAATTACACAGTAGCAAAAAAGAAGCTGCAATGGAAGTACCAGTAACAGAAACGTAAACATTTATAACAGCATCGACAACTCACAATAATAATAACAAAAGGAACAGTATCAGTAACAAGTAACATGACATTCACAGCAAACAAAATTTATCGAACCTAGTTAAAAAAAAATTCCCCCAATAGTATTTTTATTCTCCATACAGAACATTATAAACCCAATAATGTGCAATAATTAACAATCATTACATAACTAGTGAAGTTTTTAATGACACCGATGATCATTACAAACCCAGGAACACGATATTAAAGGGTAAATCATCATAGAATCCAACGAGGTTATGATAGTTGAGTTTTAAAGAGGTGTGTGTATGTATGTGTGTGTGTGTGTGTGTGTGTGTGTGTGTGTGTGTGTGTGTGTGTGTGTGTGTGTGTGTGTGTGTTGGCACGAGCAGTAGTCCATGAAACACACACACACACGAAGCTGCGCCTCTAACACCTGCCCGAGTGAGAGGTGTCAAAAGATGAAGAGAAGGGACAAAGGAAGAAAGAGGGAGAAAATGTGAAGAAAGGGAGAGAAAAGAAGAAAGACGAGGAAAAATAAGAGCAGGGAAAACACAACACATGACAGGAAGAAAGAGAAGATGAGGAAGAAAATAGGAAGGGAAAAAGATGAGAGGGGAAGAAAAGAAGAGATAAAACAGAGAGAAAACAAGAGAAGAAGAATAAAAAGGAGAAGAAGACAAATAAAAGAGAAAAAGGAGGATAATAATCGGCGAGGAAATATGAAAAAGGGAAAGAAGATAAAGCAAAAGAAAACAATAAAAGAGAAAGATACAAAAAAGAGGAAGGAGAAATGTAAGTGTTAAAGAAGAGAGAGAGAGAGAGAGAGAGAGAGAGAGAGAGAGAGAGAGTTTATAACCCACTGTGAGGTCCAGATGACAGTATAGTTAAGCTGTTAAGAAAGTGAGCGGTGCGTTTTTTCTTATTAGGGACGGAGACAAGACACACAATGAGATCATATGCTACAAAAACTCAATTATCCTCCCATTAAAACTTGGCTCGGGACTTTTATATTGATGGTAAAGGAAGACATACTAATTTTCCTTTCCCACCTTCCACTAACACTAATTCTATTGGCGCTATGATCTTGTGAACGAGTGAGTTGTCTCTTGTGTTTTTGTTCAATCACGTTCAGGTACACGCACACACACACCATCTGTGACACACACACACAGGTCCCACACACCATCTGTGACTGAATAATACACCACGCCAGGTCCTCATAACACCATCTGAGGAACTACTACACCACGTGAGTTCTTCCTCACACCATCTGGGAGGAGTTACTACACTACGAGTTTGCTGTTCAACACCTACATTAATCTGTATGTTCACTGTATGTTCCTTTACCTTTCTCTAATGAAGGCTTTTGTTAAACCACCAATGTATGTAATAAGTCATTTATGTCCAATGTATATTTTCAACCTTCGGGCTGCAGAATTTTTTCAATAAACCGTCAATTATTATTATTTTTATTACACACACACACACACCAGCGACCAGAAAGCCTAAAGTCACATCCGGTTGAGAGTCTGCAGGCCCACAGGGTAAGTCATCCAACCACTAAGAAATTAATCCGACCGTGTCTGACTCACTGGCTGTGGCTGACCCAAGACCACCACCACCACCACTTGGCTTCATGACCCGGGTCTGAGGTATACCATGGCTTGGAAAGAGATGATTTATTATTTTTTTTTATGTCTCCTCCATTGACGTTGTGCCTCTAAGTAACTTATTTTCCCCATTAAATATGTAGTAGTGTCTGTGAACTTTACTCAGATGAGGAAAATTATAGGAGTATTACACCCAGTAGGCGGAGTCATTATCATGGAAGGTGATGACGAAAGTGAGGATACGTGTTCAGCCACTGTGGTATAATGTGACTTTCTACTTTTCATCCCGTAATGGTACATACATTCGCTTTCAGAAACCAACGTTCTACCTTTGTTTCAGTCTTCAATATCAGCTGGGCAGAGGTTTTTAACATTTAAACTTTTGATTACAAGTCTTTTATTTTTACTTTATTTTTTTTCTAACTAGATCTTAAAGCCTTGGTTCTCCCATCCCAACCTGCCGGAACTCGAGCATTAATTTCCGTGATGTAGACTTTAACTGTCTGGTCTTCTGCTTCCAATCCTTCACTCTCCGGCTCTCGACTTCCTACAAAAAAAAACTGTAGTCATAGAAAAAAAAGAAGACCTTGCCTTAAAAAAAGAAACTCCAACCAGGTTTTTCCTTCTAGTCCAGTGATCCAACACAGAACATCAGGACGAGGCAGCAACTTCTTCCATTAAGGAGACACTAACTTTATCAAGACGAGTCCAACACCACAATTTTCCAGTGAACTAAAAACTCCACAACGCTTCCTTAAAATTCACTGCTGCTCATTACGGGAACCAGACGCTGTGTTCAGGGATATCATTCACATATATTTCATTGGTATTTACAGTAAATTTTTCAGATTATTTCATTACTATTGTCGAAATAATACATATATACAGTAGACACGTTATTCATTATTCACGATGATGTATAATTCATAGTAATTTATTTCATGACGAGAACAGAAAAAAAATTATTGAATATACCAAAACAGATAAATAAACGATACAGCGTCGCTTCCCGTGTCCACCATCACGCGAACACACAACACAAAACAGTTTTTTATATGCCATGTAACATAAAGACTCTGGTAATAAACTTTGTTCTGGCATCGGTAAGGTCTCACCTACTAATAAAAACAACCTTTTTTTTCATCGTTCACTGAATCATTAATTAATACTGTAATTTCTGGTTATTCTACTTTAAGCATGAAGATGTAAATGTTCCAAATGTTATCTTGTTCTTCGTTTATGTCACGTCACCGTCTGTCATCACAAGTTAAATAAAAGTCATTACGTTATCTGTCACTATTAATGTAATGCGGTAATTTATATAACAGCGCTCTTGTTACCTGTGTGTCGTGTCCAATCGTGCACCAAGTTGGGTTATCCATCTACTGTGATAAAAGTGATAACAGTGCAGCAGCAAGTCATGTTACAGCAGTGTTTTTTGTAATTCTGTTTTGATTAGAGATGTATTCTGACGTGGTGTGAAGGTCGTGTTATCAAAATGTTATTAGTGTTTATGCACGAGTTTCTTTACCTTTTGTTTTTGCCAAGATCAGGATGAAAGTGTAATTTAATTTCAGTGAATATTTTCTGAGATAAGGTTCTAGGGGTAATAAAATCGACCTGTGTATTTTTTCTCGCCCTTATGCCCTAACACTCAGTTCATGTATTTTTCTTTATATTTCTCAATTCAAAACGAAAATAAAGAATAACTAAGAAATAACAACTAATTATTTTTTCCACAGAACACTGACGACAATGGGACCACATATGAAGCCTAGTAATTGTTTAATGAGGAGACTCAACTTAATACGATTGTCATAAAAAAATCCAGCAATGGCATAAAATCGATAAGATGAATTTATATATATATCACATTACCTTTGAGAATCAGTACTATAGCTGCCATGTGACACTTGATATAACATGGCATAATAATTCTTGTTCTCTAAGCTTGTATTGTTGAACTAAGTGTATCAAGACTTTGGTACCTGGCACTAACCTCCTCTCCATTGTGTTCAGCTAAAGTGTCCTGTGTTGGGTAACGCTTAGTGTCACGGGTTGAGGCTGGGCTTCCAAGGTTTACTGTAAATACCTTGGAAATACCTGCCTGATGTTGACCTTTAGTTATGGAGGTGTGTGATATTGTCCATGGAAATGAGGGAAGGGTGAGAGGGAAAGAATGGAGGGGGAGAGTAAAGGAGAAGGAGGAGGACGAAGGAGGAGATAGGTAGATAAAACTAGAGAGAAAATAACTCACTTGATTATTAGTTTTATTTTGTACTAAGAATAAAAACCAGAGAGAAGATTTGTTGTAGTAGTTGAATAAGGGTGCGCCATGTCCGTAGACTTACACGAAGAAAATATCCCTTAACTATGTGTGGGGGATGATACCACGTCACTGTACAAAACACTTCAGTCACTAACCAATGTCTTGAAAACTGACCAAACAAAACATACCAGCACGGTTCTTATTTATTCATCACTATGGTGGAGGAAATGTGTCATGTCAGGATTTAGATGACAATTCTTATGGTTTGTTAAAGAAGGGGATAAGTTATGTATTAAATATATAGAACATACCAGCACGGTTCTTCTCTCTTCTCTCTCTGGTGGAGGAAATGTGTCATGTCAGGATTTAGATGACAATTCTTATGGTTTGTTAAAGAAGGGGATAAGTTATGTATTAAATATATAGAATCTCTCTCTCTCTCTCTCTCTCTCTCTCTCTCTCTCTTTGAACACCTGCGGGCTGTGATGGCAGGAATTAGGGCACCACAGATGGAACAACACACGAGGAACAGGCCAGGATGTTTGGAGGGGAGAACAAGAATAACGAGAAAATGGAATATAAGAGACGAGCAGAAACTATACAAGAGAGTGTGAGAGGGACACTAGCCATCCCCTGAGAGGAAGAACTATACACTGTAGGACTGATCGAGGACACACGGGCTTAGGTTAGGTTAGGTTAGGTTAGGTTAGTTTAGGTTAGGCTAGGTGAGGTGAGGTTAGTTTAGGTTAGGTTAGGTGAGGTGAGGTTAGTTTAGGTTAGGTTAGGTGAGGTTAGGGTTAGGGTAGGTGAGGTGAGGTGGTTCGAGTATTGGAGAGGTTTACTGGAAATGTTTAGTGTCAATTTTGATTTAGGAAGATCAGATAAATACCGTAAAAAAATCAGTACTTTCTTTGCAGTACAGACAGAAGAGGATACAGTAGCGGTTTACAGTGTTAGCCTCGTGTCCCAGATGTCCACCACACCTGTATAAACACTTGTGTATGTTAAAATAGGATTTATTGTATATTGTACAACTGAATTCATACGTTATTTATGTTTTTGTTTCATTAGTTTACCCGGTGATGGAGGTAGACGACTCTGAAACTGTCGTGATCAAATAAATAAGATGTTTTGTCAGGTGTTGATTTCATTGTTTAATATAAGATCACACTTCCCGAAGGACACGTATATTGCTGCTCTACATGTGCGTGCGTGTGTGTGTGTGTGTGTGTGTGTGTGTGTGTATGTGTTGAGGATTAGTTACCTTATCCACGTGTTGGGTCCACAGGTGTGTGTTGGTGATAGCTCCCCCGGCATTACAACCTTCATCCTGAACTAATGGCAGTAAACACCCACTACAGATCCAGTTTAAGTTTGTAGTGCAAGAGGTGTTAAGTGGTTAGAGCTGTGAGGCAAGGCGAGGCAGCTGTTGGGAGGTGAAGACTAAAGTGAGGCAAAGAGGTCAAAGACTTGATTAACTTCCTACCTGGTAACGTGAGTGAGTGTTGATCCTAAGCACCTGTTGTACCCAGCTCGGGGGCACGGGGAGAGGGAGACAATGTTCACGAGAGATGTTGTGAATGTAAGGGAGAACTGAAAGAAAAGAGATAATAATATTTAGAAAAGGAACACAAAGGAAGGATAAAATAATGTTCCTTTATACACCCAGCCAGGAGGAAGGGCGACCTGGGCTACATTTTAATCTACATTCATTCATTTTGTTCACCAAGTTGTTAACTATCCCGAGCACCTTACTGAGATTAACACTGGACTTTGATGATTAATCCTGTAAAAAAGAGCAAGAGTTTTATCAACCATATATCCCGTTTAATCTTGAAAAAAAAGGTAAACACGTTCTTGTGATAGTTTGTGTGTGTAAGGAGATGAGGCCCCCAACACGACAGGTCCACACACCCCGCCAGGCGATAGTGACCCTCATATCTCAGCGCTGTTACGGTGAGTCTTTTATCTCACTACTCACACCACACTACTACAGCTCCCTCACACAACTGACTCCCGAATGACAGCTCGAATAAAAACACTTGTACATTCTTTATGAGGGTGAAGGTCCCTGGTGATTGGCTGGTGAGGTGACATGCCTTTTCACACCCCTATCTCCCCCTCATTCTCCACCCCTTCCCCTCCTCACGTCTATCTGTTCACCCCTGACCATCCCTCATACTCATACTTAGGATAATTAGCTCAAAGTTTTACTGGAGTTATTACAGCGACTTGGCTCATAAACCTGGGCCATCTGAGGGTGTGGGTGTGAGGGGTGATGACTGTTGAGTAAAAGTTAAAACCAACTTTATTCCAGGATGAGTATTGAAGACTCGTAGACTGGCTTAAACTATGAGAAAAAGGTGACAGCACGAGAGAGAGAGAGAGAGAGAGAGAGAGAGAGAGAGAGAGAGAGAGAGAGAGAGAGAGAGAGAGAGAGAGAGAGAGAGAGAGAGAGAGGAGAGAGAGAGAGGTGTCGTCACTCTACTCTAAGCTTACGGAACAGTGCACAGAGCAAGGCCGAGGAAATTGCTGAATATATATTGTGTGTGAGGCTGTAAGCTATTGGCAGCGGGGACAGGATTAGACAGAGTGAATTGAATTTGTGTAACTGGTGAGGGACGGAGTGATTGGTTTCAAGATAAACTGTGGAGTGGTACAGGGTTGTGGTAGATGTCAATTGTGTATCAGTAATTCAAACTCTGGCACCCCCCCACCCCCCCCACCCCCCAAAAAAAAGGCTGAGGAGGTGAAGCTACTCGTTGATAGACCAGTGAATCGAAAATAGCAGGAGATATGACGTAGTAAGGAAGAGAAACTGGAGAAATGGTAAATAAAATAACAACAAGAATTATAAAAGAAATGGTTCAGAAAATACATTGACACCAAGAGAAGGAGGAGGAGGAGGAAGAGGAGGAGGAGGAAGAACAGGAAGAGGAGGCGGAAGAGGAGAAGGTAGCTGTGTCATTATTCCACCACTGAGGTAAATTAATCCTCAACTGGATGCTAACATGAAGGCCAGCGTTGGACGGTCCTCAAGTGACAAGGAACATAGACACAAAACAACAAGCTCAAGGTTCACTACACCTGAGTCTCTTCTCATTAGTGACCAGCCAGGTAAGGTGGTAGCCGGGGTGAGTAACAAGTGGATATTAGAGGTAAAAAGTGGTTCTGGCTGTCACAGGATACACAGGTGTGGTGTTTGGTGTACCTGAGGAGGGTAATTAGTGGCTAATTGTTAACTAGGGTGAGGGACGAGTTGGGATGAGACTTCAGGGGGAGTTAGTGGTGAGTGTGATGATGAGTGAGTGAGTGATTGAGTGAGTGAGTGAGTGAGTGAGTGAGTGAGTGAGTGAGTGAGTGATTGAGTGAGTATGTGAGTGAGTGAGTGAGTGAGTGAGTGATTGAGTGAGTATGTGAGTGAGTGAGTGAGTGAGTGAGTGCGCTTCAGGTCTAGTGTGTGGTGGTTGTGTTCAGGTGGCCTCAAACTCATCCTGTTTTCAATCTCTGTTATCCATTTTATTTCTTCCTGTGCAACATGTAACCATTATCTTGACCCTAAGAGGAGGAGGAGGAGGAGGCGGGTAAATCTAGGTCACTTCCGAGTGTAGTAACGAGGATATAAGAAGTTGGTCATGCATACAAGAAAAAAATATCAGGTCATGTAAAAAGAAACCAGGTCACGTATATTGATGAACGACCCTGGGGTGAATTGGGAGAGGATGAGGAAGAGTGAGGGATGGTGAGGGTTGTTGTGGGGGAGAGAAGGATGGGGAGAGAAGGAGGGTGGTAAGAGAGGGAGGGGGAAGGGAGGGAGAGGAAGAGAGGGAGGAAAAGAAGAGGGAATGGAAAAACACGCATCATTTTAAACCCTGCAATTCCTAAACTCTTATTATACGATCATGTGAACAGAAAGAAGACCACATCTACTAATCATCTCCACCAAAAACCAATGTCATGTCGAATCCTATAATACTAGTTTTTGGTCTGTTATTACTCATTGTCTCATGTTATTTATTCTGTCTTCCTTTCTTCTTCCTCTCTTATTTAGTATTTATCTGTTTCCTTTATCCTACCTTGTGAATTCAGTGCCCCCCCTCCCCCCGGTAGACATAAACCACAAGAATTACTGCCTTCGTCCTCCCTCTCCAAACCTGTCTTGTCTAACTCGTTGTACAGGATCGAGATATATCCCCGCGTCACTCACTGAACGCTGCATCGGGCACCTGTCAGTCATCCTGCCTTCACCCCTCTTCACCTTGTTGTTGCCGTCGTAAAGAGAAACAAGGAGAGACAAGGATGAGAAGGGGAGTAGGAAGAGGTAGTGAAATAGAATAAACAACAGGTGAGAAGGGAATAGGGAGAGTAAAGAATTTTATTAGTGTAATGGCTTTCAAAATAGCTCCATGTTAAAAAAGTCAATGAGAAGGTCGTCGTGTTGGTGATTCTCTGCGTATCACAAGTCTCTCTCCCACTAACACAGTGGTATAAGGTAAATCTTGACTCCTCACTTCTAACCCTCCGATGCAGTGTTACCAACTTGCTATAATGATTCATGCTCTCATACCTAATACTGCTTAATGATCTTATTTATCACCTAACAGTCTCTTTATCTTAATTGTTCATATCTCTACTTTCCGGACGTTTATCTCATTCCCCTTTTGTCTGCCCCCTGCTCTAGTTACTCCACCTGTACTAATTACCTGTATTTACCTGTAATTATCCCTTCATGCCATCCCCCCACCTTAATCTCCCTCCTCGCTACTATTCACCTCTAACTCCCTCCATACAGGTAAATTAATTAGATCATATATAAAAATAGATTTAATTAATTTTGTTGGTGTTACCTACAACAAATTACCTCCTGGTGTTACCTGTTTACTGCGACTTGCAATTAGTGTTTCATTCATAAAATATACAGCGATTAATTTTCAAGGTTAGGTCGAGTCATTACTGAGAGAAGAGGAGCACAGATAGTAAGTTGTGTTAGAGGAGGAACAGTGAGGATTGAGGAGAGGGCGGGAGGAGAAGTGGATGAAGCATTGGTGTGAAGGGAGGTGAAGGGAGGTGAACGGATAATAGACAAAAATATCCGGAAAAGCGAAAAGGTTTATACCATTTTCGACAGAGTTGACAGGAAATCAATGTTGAGAGGCAGTGAAAATATATGAATACAGAGGAAAAGGTCGATTGTTGTCCAAAACTGTCCACAAAGAGTAGAGTAGAGTGTTGGCACCAAGTAAGTGTATATGTCGCCATGGTTATTGAATATTAAAGCAGGAGTGATGGAAAGCCGTGAAAGTGTAAATTAGAGATGAATCAAGTATTGTCTTACAGGTAACATCTCCTTTGGTGATTGATTTAGAAGAAAAAGTTGTAGCTGCTAATGAATGAATTTAGAAGAGATCTAAGCAGGGTTTGATAAGGGGCCATAGACGTGGTGGGAGAATGGAAATGAGAGAATGGCAAAAAAGAGTATTTGATAATGATGTGAATTGTGAGAGAGAGAGAGAGAGAGAGAGAGTTCTGGTACTAGTTTTCAACATTCTGAAGCTCCAACCAAATGTAGAGGAAATGAATACATTAATCAACTATGACAATCAGAACAAAAGAATATAAGCCCTAGTGTCCACTGTCACCTCCAACGCCTGCGACATTACGTGGCATACTGATATCTCCCGCAAAGTTAAGTGAGCATTAGAGGCAAAACGAAACATAAACCCTAGCAGCCAATACATCACAGTACCCGTTTTACTTTTCTTGGGCTGCTTTTGTATTGTGAGAATGGCAACAGTGGCTGGAGGAACACCACCAGCTGATAAAATTCTAATCTTGACAATTGAGTCCCGTGTTTCCTCCCCCTCTCAGGACTTTGAGTGAGGGTGATAGACCTTCATGTTATCTCTACAGTATGCGCATAAATCTTCGTTTCGTTACATCAAGAGGATTAACTTCACAAAAATTGACCTTTCATTTCATTTTTCCAAGAATTTTATATGTTGTCAATGGGAGGTATTTATTTCGTAACATTCTATATTTGTTTATCGTTTACAACCTTGATAATAATGTGTCTAGTTCCGTGATGTTCCGTTTAGTTTCAGCATTACTCTACCAACCAAACCACAATATCCGCCTCAGTCTTCACAACCATCTTTTTCTTCTACCCAGTCTATAGGTTTTAGTCCCACTGTGGCTTGATGATACAATATCCGCCGGCTCAGTCAACCGCTCTAGCTGTCCTCGTCTCCTCCTCTCCTTCCCCCAGTCCTCCTTTACCGTCACAAGATCACCAATGTTTCTCCCTCACAGGTATATTGATCCTTCGGGAATTCCTCAGGTCTTGTATTATTTCTCTCTCACTCTACGTTGTATATCCATTATCCTGTAGATTTCCTCCGTTGGTTTAATCTTGTTATTTTTCTCCAAACTTTCTTTATATCTTGTCGTAGAGGGTTTGTTAAGGTATTGTCAACAGCACTAATCTTCACTTACAATGTCTGTCAACTTGGATTTTGAGAGAAAATGGGGCAAGTGAAAGGAAGAAGAACGTAACACTCACACTCGAGGCTGTCACACTTCAGGTTTAACAGGTGATAGATATCCCTCGAACAACTTAAAGGTAACGAAAGAGAAAAACATTCACTTGATAATATATCCTTTGTGTCAAATTATTAGTAGTAATTGAATGAGGGTGCGCCAAGTCCGTAGACTTGCTATAATATGACTTTTTTTTTTTATGGCAAGCTTCAGATGGGCAGCATTATACAGCATTACAACAGATAAACAAACATGTTACCTCGCTTCTAACAAACTTGATTATATAACACTTGTTCCTGGATACAACTGTAAACACTAGTTCCTCCCTTCTTCACTTCATTACCGAGACAACAAGAGTCAACAGTGTTCATTTTGAAATTCATCGGACCCCTCGGTAAAGATACTTTTTGGGGGAGGCGAGTGTATAGTCAGAGATATATCACAATTGCGTGCCAGAGAAAGAAAAAACTAGAATAAGGATGAAATAAATAAGAGGATATAACTGTGTAATGACTGATGATGTGTGCATAGTCAAGAGGGATGGATGGCAGAGCAGCCGAGTGTATCATATCACAATATTGTCTTGGCGTGACGCAGGGAACATGCCGGGAGGTTTAACTTGATCTCTCGTGCTTTATGTTCATCCCTCTGACCTGGAGTAGTCATCTCTCCGACAGAAGTATAATATAACCAACACTATCGTATATTAACTCATTTTCTTACAGAGAAGTACACAAGATAGTATAGATTATGTTGAAGCTACGAGTAGTTACTGTATATTAAGAACATTTAACAGAACTTTCATCTACATTTATACCATTTGACTTAAATTCAGATAAAAAATAAGTCCTCATATCTGGCCGTCATCGAATCTGTGAGCTCGTGGGTGTGATTTTATTTTATTTTACCTTTTTCGGGGGAGGGAGGGAAGGGGGATTGATTCTGTGTATATAAAAAAGGTGATGGACATGATACAATAAAGTTTGACATATTGGTTATATACTAGACGGGAAGAAAAACATTTAATAAAGTGTGAAGGTAAACCATCTCTGAAGGTCACACGGCTGAGTTATACACGAAAATAATAGATAACGAGGAACAGAATCAAGCAACAAGGTTAGGTTAGGTTAGGTTAGGGTAAGTGGCTTTGTAAAATTAGTATCATAATTATTTCTTGTTCTCCTCTTAGACGATATCATTTGCGTGAATAAAAATAATATTAAGAAGACTGATTTTAATGACGTGAATAAATTTCTATCTGAAGTTGAACCCAAAACACCAAAAGGCCTAAAGCTTTCTAACACTATAAATATATCCTCGTAGATGAAATTTTGACTAAAGTGAGAATATCTACGTCAACCAGAGTAGTGAATTCTTAATAAAGTCTGTGAGCCAAAGTTGGTATATAAATATTCAGGAGCCGCCAACTGAGTCTGTGTGGTGGACCTGGTGGCTACATGTTGCGCCATTCATATGTAAAGTTAATTACTGACCATAACATAAAGAGGAAGGTCAAGGGAAGGTCAAGTGGAGGTTTAGTGTGTTTTATCATAAAGTAACTCTGTGTTAATTCCCTTCAGGTGTTGATGATGTTTATTTAAGTGTACTGAGGGATTAGAACACACACACACACACACACACACACACACACACACACACACACACGTCTGTATTATAAGGGACTCTGTAAGGGTTTATGCATTAATAATTGTGTTTTTAATATTAATTATTTTTTTACTGCCTTGAATATTGTAATAGATTGTAATATTAAAAATAGCAAGTTATTATCTTCTCACATTATTTTTTTATTTACTCACACAAACAGTTATGAGGGAGCTGGTGGGTGATGATGTAACAGAATTGTATCATTTGTGGTGAAGCAAATATTTTCAGTTGTATCCCCAGACTGAACACGCCCACAACAATACCCCCGCCACACACACTATAGCAGTCAGTGTAATGTGTGATTTCGCAACACATTTTTTTTTTTTTATAAAACTACGGATATGTGAAACACCCTCCCCCTCCCCCCTTACCATCCCCTTCCCTCCCACTCAGGTTAGTTTGATTTTGTGAATCTGCCAAACGCTGGATTGATTTTTTGTTTTTACTGTTAATTAGGATATTGGTGTTGTATAGGAAATACCATTCTGACCCGTCATTTAACACCCTGTCCTCAGTAAAAGGCTAATCACGATTCCTGGTAAATTTTGATCTAAAAGTAAAAATTTTGGGTTTAGGATTCAATTCTTTTTAATGAATCATTTAGGAGATTTGAAACCATAATGTACCAGGGACGATCTGGTGTACACTGTGTTGGCAAGGTGATCTGGGGAAGAGTTCCACAGTCCACCTGATTTTTCTTATTTTGCTTTGATAATTTTTAAGGTTTATTTAGGAGTTTAAAACTAGAATTCTATAAACTTTTGAGCTCATAGACACTATAAATGTTATTTTAGACCCCCACAGCTCCTCAAAACAGCATCTTGCCAAGTTTCAGCCTCTGCTATGATCCTATAAAACAAAAATCTCTCTTTTTTTTTCAGGGTTATTATTCATGTTCTTCACCAGACCTGTACATTAATATGGAAGCCTACTTACCTTTATACTGACATCTAAAATGAATTGAATCCTGAACATTGTTTCTCTCGGTCCGCTTCACACTCCGGCTCGTCTCAGCGCCATTCCGCCAGAGTTGCAGCGATGTTCCTGAACAATATAAATATACAGTATGTCAGTGTTTTGAAAGGACGACGATTAAGAATCAGAATTTCAACTTTTTGACCACAGATCCTTGACCTGGACGCCGTAAACAACCTATACTGAGATTCTGAGTAAATTTTATTTTATTTTTTGGGTCGAAAAATTAATTTGGGTCAAAATCTCAGTATAGGTCGTCCTTGACACCCTGATTAAGGATCTGTGGTCGAAATGTTGACATTTTGAGAAATATTTATCTTAATAGTACCCTAGAATATGAAGCTATGATAATTAATTCTGCTAATTGATATGAGGACGCTTAATTAATTATGTTGTACCCAGCTCATTAATCCTATGCATCACTAAATTTATTTTAAGTAATAAAATGCCATAAATATAAACTTGCTGGCACACAACACCAGCAGGTCACCTGTGATAGAACCGACATGTATGATGCAGCCGGGTTTATACAATAACACTCTCATACTCCATTTAACTAATTGCTTCACAAATACTTAGTTATTTCTTTTGTGTATGTTGACATTTAACTTACAGTATATCGATATTGTTGTGTTATGATATTAATAGTTTAACTCTGCCGTCTGAGGAACATAATTTTATCGGGAACATGGCAACAAGTGGAGCAACAAATTTTCACGAAAATGAATAAAATCTATAAAAAATTCAAAACAAATTTAAAACAGTAGTAAATATTAAAGGAAAATAATACTCATAGTTCAGTTCACACGACCACTGAACTCATCAGAGGTACAGTTGGCTCATACTGTTCTTATTACCCCCTGAGGTCACGTTTACATACTGTATACCTGCATGTGGCAGAGTCGCAATACTTAAGCTATGAATGAATGGGTAGTAGTCTTGTAACGAGGGAGCTGAATGGTGTGACACAGTTTGGGTGTTGGATAAATAAATAAATAAATAAATAAATAAATAAATAAATAAATAAATAAATAAATAAATAAATAAATAAATAAATAAATAAATAAATAAATAAATAAATAAATAAATAAATAAAAAATAAATAAATAAACAGTATATATCAATAACTGGTGCTCCCAAATGGTGCTCAGGAAATTTACTATAAGACACATCACTATTTCCAAGTTATGGTAATCAGTTAGCTGTTTTGTGGACTTTAAACCATAGTAAATCAAATAAATACTATACATGAATCACTAACTCACGAATATATATCAAGCTAGCCATTCCTCACAAATTCCTCTCCTTACACAATACGACAGAGACTCTCAGTTCAGAAAAAGACTCTCTACTTCCTCATACGTTTATATCACTTTCATTTACACTGAAGAAAAACTCTCGTCCTTATATAACCTCACAGTGGTTTAAAGTATTATCCCCAGTAGTGTGTTAGGTATCTGGAAGAGTCAACATACGTATATATATGGTGATAAAAACTAACACCTGGTAAATTAGGTTCAATAAAATATATGACATAATTATTTTCAGATCTACAGTAGCAAGATTTATCGTCACTGGAACATCTGAGTTTATGGGAAGTTGATGACTCTATTCCTTAACCTAACCTAACTTAACCTATTGTAACTGTGCTCGGGATGACACTAATAATGTTTCTCTATACCTTATAAGCTAAAAAAAAAACCTACCTGAATATACTATAAACAGCTCACAGTAGTTCTGAATACAGTCTTGAGATATCTAACACAATGAGGCCAGGAAATAAACACAGAAATCCTCGACTGTCACAGGAAACGGTTAATTACAGTACACTGCCCTGCCTCTTGAACCAGACTGACAATTCACCGTGTTTACAGGTATCTTGTTGACACCAAAGATATTCCTCCGCGCTGCTGACGTATAACAAAACTAGTCCACTATGCAAATATTACGGACATTTTATCATGAAAGACAGTGACTTTTTGGATGATATAGTTTAAATATATCTTTTTAATTATCATTTTCGTAATCAAGTTATCTCAGAAAAAATCCCAATCAGATCCTTAAGTCTCTCTTGGTGCCCCGTAAAGAACCTCCATGGTACAGTCAGAACAAGGTCTGCCTCACCACCACCTTCTACCCAACACTTATACTACAATTTCTTCGAGAGACTGACATGTTGACGTGTATTGGTAGGACGGCCGTCAGTGATCTAGATTTATACCACAATAAAGATTAAGGATTGGTATTGTTTTCTCTTCCCTCTGTCGACTTGTGGTTAGTTTTATTCATCATATTGACTATAAACTCTTACATTATAATATGCCTTTTGAATCAATCTAATGAGTTATATACAAGATGATAACACAGCATTAGCACAGGAATGACCCAACTCTAACAATGCGGGTTTATTGTTCACTTGTACTTTAACATTAGAGTGATGATGTGTACGGCTGTTCCCTGTGGTAATAACTCAAGTGATCATTATTGTGGTGCAGCAACATTGAATGAGAGATATTATGGTAACACCGATAGGAATTTATTATATTGTAATTCCGAAAGCTACATCAGTCATTCCGGTCTGGCCCCGGGAGTCGACAGCTTAATGTGAACTTTGTGTCGGGCAGAGTTTGTACCCAGATCCAGCAGGAACCGGGATTAAGGTTGTGCAGTTTTTTAAAGCCTAGGAGGGGATTTTTAGGATAGAGATACCATAAATATGTCAGTGTCTTGTGGGCCACTGCAAGGAATAATATATTAAAGAAACATTGATATTATTTTCTATCCCGTTGAAAACGCACACACACACACACACACACACACACACACACACACTAACGCACGCTAATGCAATAACACTGAATGACAAACACTAACAGAATGAAAGTGACATGCTGAACGATTCAGACTGAAAAAAAACTCTCTGACAGGCTGACAAACAATGACCGAAGCTCACCAACTGACTCGAATTGGTCGACTCAGTAACGAAATGGGGAGAAAATTCTTTAAGTAATAACATAAATAATCATCATTTCTTCACATATACAAAAGAACACACACATATACTCAGACAACCATCAACATTCGGTAGTATCTCATTTACATACTTCCACACAACCGGATAATCCTGGCAATGATTTTGTCTGTTTTTATGGAGGGTCGTACACCCTTCACCACACAAGCCTTGAGACAACTACTTCAGTCAAAATTGGATCACCAATATAATGGCACAACACACAGTGGATGGATGACACTTGCGAGGAAGTTATGGACGCCGTAATGGCTCCTGTTGTGAGGCGGAGAAGGTAGAAGGTATGGAAGTAAGGAGGCGTTCACGTCTTGGCTTTTATCCCCGTACACACTGCCTCGTCTCAACCCAACATTTTATTGCACTTATGAGGTGGAGGCTCACAAGGGCCTATAGCAGACCTTAATGCACTACCGCCACGGTGACAAAAGGTCTTTTATTAGGTGGAGAAAGCGGAGTTGCCCGGAGGACCAGCGAACAGTATATAAAAATCTTACCACAAATACACACACACACACACACACACACACACACACACACACACACACACACACACACACACACACATACTAGGGATTGACTGTATTTAGTTTTTACGTCCGTCTTTGTATAATAATATTTGGTACAGTAATATAACCAACACATAAATATAACATTAATGATACAATGACACTTCTTACAGTAGTAACAACAACAACAACAGCAGCAGAAGCAACAACAACAACAACAAAAACAGCAGTAGCAGCAGCAACAACAACAAAAACAACAACAGGAACAACAACAACGTCGATTTATCGGAGAGAATAATGATGAATGTTCGACTCATAACGTTACCAGCTCAACACTGACCTTTGACCCTAACACACTGAAACACTCAACTTACCTACAACACACCTAAACCTAAGTCATATTATATCACCTCAAAACTCATCATCTCAAGTTACAGTGGCTATCAATTAACTTACAAAATTCACATCTAAGAGAAAAATTATATATCTGTTTTATTTCAGTGAACGTGAGTTGCTGGCTGTAACTGGTGCCCTTTCCTGGTAAACTTTCACTAGCAGTCAGGTAAGTCCAACACCTGAGTTATGACGGGGTAAATGTTGCAATATTGCCTCATAAATATTGACAGGTGAACAAGTTCCAATATCGAGCTTAGTTGGAGTTTTCTCCCCGTGAAATGTTTCTTCGATTTCTTTATATCTCTGTATGTCTTTTAAACACCATCGGTAACGTGTATAGATATTCCTTTGCATTATGTAACAACGAGGGAGGTGGGAAAATGTTTACATGTATTTGCTTATTGGTTCTAACACACACACACACACACACACACACACACACACACACACACACACACACACACACACACACACTTTGGAATTTTAGATATTACTTGACACAGCGTAGTAGCCTAAACTTAATGGATAATGACTTACCTAATCCCTGAATAATATTTGACACTATGAGAGACTTAACTCATTAGCAACACTAAATACTAGAAGAGCAACATTTAAGTTAAGTGAACACATTCCTCGAAAACTTTTATGTATGAGCACCAACGTTAATGCGCTAAACACATTTTGGTGTTGAGTAAAAACATTTCAGAAAACGACGAGATGAAAGTTTTATAGAAAGGTGTAATTAACAAGTAAAATATGACAGAATAATTCCAAAACCCATTAGCAAGACTAAACACGAGAACTAAGTGTTTATGAATCTGGACCGACATAACAGAGTTCAATTAAGTGAGATTCTGAGTAAAGTTGAAACGAAAGGTGTGTGGTTGGGTGATCCTAAACTGTGGATAATCAAGAGTAATGTCTACCTGGTGTTTACAGGTGAGGTTGCGTAGCGTGAGTGACCACAGTAACTGGTCCTCTCCCTCAGTCACCTGGACCACAACTCACCTGCAATTAACAATGGATTGAGATTAATTAAAACTTTCACCATGGAAGGAGGTAAAGAAGGATAATGAATGACTCTTACAGCAGGAGTGTCTTTATGGCTTCATGGCTCACACTGACAGCTTTACTGGAGGAAGGAATAATGACCAGGTGTAACGTGGAGTTGTGGCAGGTGAGGACAGGTGTA